GCTTGTGCACCGTTGCACTCTTCACGAGACAATTCGTGTCAAGAGTGGTGCCTGGGATGACAACGGGGTCTTCATATATACAACTCTCACCCACATCAAGTATTGTCTTCCCAATGGAGACAGTGGAATCATCAAAACCTTAGACGTCCCAGTCTACATTACTAAGATATATGGGAACACAATCTTTTGCTTGGATCGAGATGGGAAAAACCGTCCTATCATTATTGATTCAACTGAATACATATTCAAGCTAGCCCTGCTTAAAAAGAGATATGACCAGGTTATGAGTATGATAAGAAACTCCGAGCTTTGTGGTCAAGCCATGATTGCCTATTTGCAGCAGAAGGGTTTTCCTGAGGTTGCCCTTCATTTTGTTAAGGATGAGCTTACTCGTTTCAACTTAGCACTTGAAAGTGGGAACATTGAGATAGCTCTTGAATCTGCTAAGAAGCTTGATCAGAAAGATCATTGGTATAGGCTTGGGGTGGAGGCCCTTCGGCAGGGTAATGCAGGTATTGTTGAATACGCCTATCAGAAGACGAAGAACTTTGAGAGGCTCTCTTTCCTTTATCTAATAACAGGAAACCTGGATAAGTTATCGAAAATGATGAAAATTGCTGACGTAAAAAATGAAGTTATGGGTCAATTCCACGATGCCTTGTACCTTGGTGATGTTCGTGAGCGTGTTAAGATTTTGGAAAATGCTGGTCATTTGCCCCTTGCATATATCACAGCTACGACCCATGGGCTCAAGGATATTGCTGAGCGTCTTGCAGAAGAACTGGGTGAAAATGTTCCATCATTACCAAAGGAGAAAAAAGCATCTCTGCTGCTGCCCCCAACTCCTATCTTGGGTGGGGGAGACTGGCCTCTATTGATGGTGACAAAAGGGATATTTGAAGGCGGTCTGGATGCTACAGTCAGGGGTGGACATGAGGAGTATGAAGATGTTGCAGATGCTAATTGGGGTGAGTCACTGGATATAGGTGAGGTGGAAAATCTGCAGAATGGAGATATCAGTATGGTGCTCGAGGACGAGGATGGACAAGAAGAAAATGATGGGGAAGTAGGATGGGATCTTGAGGATCTGGATCTGCCACCTGATACTGACACACCAAAAACTGCTTCAAACGCTCGCTCTTCTGTTTTTGTTACCCCAACCCCTGGCATGCCTGTGAGCCAGATTTGGGTCCAAAAATCATCTCTTGCTGCTGAACATGCAGCTGCTGGCAATTTCGACACTGCTATGCGGTTGCTGAGCCGGCAACTAGGGATTAAGAATTTCTCTCCTTTAAAGCAATTGTTTGCTGATCTACATATGGGAAGCCACACACATCTACGTGCCTTCTCCTCGGCACCAGTTATCTCTTTTGCAATTGAGAGAGGTTGGAGTGAGTCAGCTAGTCCCAATGTGCGGGGTCCACCTGCACTTGTCTTCAATTTTGGTCAGCTGGAAGAAAAACTTAAAGCTGGTTATAGGGCCACAACTGCTGGGAAATTTTCTGATGCGCTTAGATTATTCCTGAGCATTCTTCACATTATTCCTCTGATTGTGGTTGAGTCAAGGCGAGAGGTGGATGAGGTCAAGGAATTGATTATCATAGTGAAGGAGTACGTTTTGGGCNGTCAAGGAATTGATTATCATAGTGAAGGAGTATGTTTTGGGTTTGCAGATGGAGCTTAAGAGGAAGGAATTAAAAGATAATCCTGTTCGTCAGCAGGAGTTGGCTGCCTACTTCACACACTGTAATCTGCAGCTTCCGCACTTGAGACTCGCATTACAGAATGCTATGTCTGTCTGCTTTAAGGCAGGCAATCTTAGCCCAGCGGCTAACTTTGCTAGAAGACTCTTGGAGACAAATCCAACCAATGAAAGCCAAGCCAAAATAGCCCGCCAGGTTCTGCAACAAGCTGAGAAAAATATGCGAGATGCTACACAGTTGAATTATGACTTCAGAAATCCTTTTGTGGTATGTGGCGCAACATATGTCCCCATATACAGAGGCCAGAAGGATGTCACTTGCCCTTATTGTGCTACTCATTTTGTTCCAGCCCAGCAAGGACAGCTTTGTACTGTTTGCGATCTTGCAGTTGTAGGAGCAGATGCATCTGGTTTACTTTGCTCACCTTCGCAGGTCAGATAATTTCAGTTTTTTCACATCAGTTCTTTTGGCCGTCACTAAGAAGCTTCCAATTCTACAATTAGAAGTTAGGCATGAGTATGGACAGACCTGCTTTTCATCGGATTGTACCTCTGGTTTATATCTGTTTTGATTTTTGCGTTAGTTTTATGGACCTAATTGCCCTTCTTTTTAAGTTTTATTATGATTACAATTTTGATTGTAATAAAGCATGTAAAATTGACTTGGACCTATTCTTTGAAGCGTATTTTCACCTAGTTTGACAGGTCTAAGTATCAAAACCCAGAGAACTTGAATGTTGATCGCGTCTCCTAGTTCCAGTTTTTTAGTTTGACCTGAAACTGAAGCTGGAGATAAATATGAACGTTGGTGCAGAATTTAGGCATTGCCAGGTCCTAGTCACCCATGTCTTCTCTTTAATATCACTACGAATTCATTTCATTTGGTGAATCATTGCTATTTGCAGTTTTAATTAAATCAATACATTAATTTATATTGTTAGATGAGGAAAAGTTATCTAAACATCTTCAGGATGCTGTGTAAGGGATCTTATAAACGTAGCTGTTGGCCTTGTAATAGTTTTTAGAGAATCATTACAGTAGTTTGGTTATTTGCTATAATTTCCTGCGTTTCCTTGGAAAATCGTACCAAACAAGTAAACAATTATCAAGGTAGTTAGGAGAGACCAAGGACGTATTCTCTTCTATAGAATTGAGTTTTGTTACTGGTAAATGGTAATCAAGTTACTAGGCCTTAACCATTTAAAACGGAGTTTCTAAACTACTAGCAGTTTCTGTGCAACTAATGATTGTTAGTAGTATTTTGTTGACGGTGTGGATAGATGGTAACACATATTACCCAATGTATTCATTTTATGTAGCTAAGCTAATCATGTTACGTTGCTACGCTAAACTTATAGTCAATCATTTTAAATGTTAAGAATGTGGTTAATTATACAAAAAATAATTAGAAAGAATAATTCATATCTCTGTCTTTCAGTGTTGTCATACCAACCTCAAGGCCCTATTACGAGACAGCACAAAAACATAGTTTGGGTTATTGACTCATCATAGTTTTTGAGGTTGGGCCGAAACTATGTTTGGACATGTTATTTTATGTTTGGACATCATAGTTTGGGTTATTTACCCAACCTCATGTCCTTTTATTTTTTATTTTTTTTAATAAATTATACCCATAAGAGTTCTGAGTATTATATCAAAAGAGGTACAACAATAGAGGGGGCTATACCTGACTTCTTTGATATAATAACAGAAGACATTCCATTCGGATAAAAATAGAGGTGTAGAGGTGTGAATCTGGGAACCCCCTATACAATTGCCATAACCACCTCTATTATACTACAATGTACAATCAACTACTTGAATTATTACACAATACTCGGAACTCGTACGATGAGGGGTTTATTTTTTCCTTTTTGCAATACTATAGAAAGGAAAGCTGGTAATTTGAGAAAAAGTTAAATAAACATACAATTTTTTTGGTAAAAGTTTCTTTATATTGACAGTTTGTATAAATTGAATGTTATTTTTATAAAAATTTTTAGAAGTCAGTAAATAATTTTACACTGCTAGAATATTTGAAAGCGATTAGATAAAAAATACCTATTGGCGTATATCACTGTCTATGAGCTCCAGTAACTGATGCTTACTCCAAAACGGACTTGAAAAACATGCATTTGCAGAAAAACAATTTACTTATTATTATTATTATTATTATTATTATTATTATTATAAGGAGGAGTAACTATACATGCTTAATTTTTTATTTGTGACAGCTAAAGCCTACCTACACGAATAGATAAAGCTAATTTTGACCTTTCTCCATGAAATGGTTAAAGCTAGATCCAAAACAGTAAGGAGGAGTGGGCTGGCCTTCAAGGAGAAATGAGAAGTAATTCCTCATTTATGTGACGGACCTCGGATTTCGAGAGTCAAACTTCTTAATTTTTTATCGTAAATTCAGATATAGAACCTTTAAATTTTTTAAAATAAAATTAGAACTACGCCACATAAATTGGGTAAAATTTTTTAAGTCGAAGACACTGAAAATTAGAAATGAATGTACAAAGAGTAAAAAGATGTTTTACATTTATATAAAGCACAAGAACATGTCTGGCTGTTTCTGGATAGTAACATGAATTTTTGCTTTCCAAAAGATGATATCGCTGTCCTTATATATGTGAATGGTACTTTCCTTTTTGCAATAATAACCCTAATAACCGACCTTCATCACAAAACCTAGCTAATTACCTAGCTTAGCTTTCCATTAATACCACAAAATTGCTTGGGTTTGTCAAAAGTTGGTGTCCTACCATGTGGCTAGGCAAAGTACTATGACATCTCTTTACACTGTGGTTGAAGATTGTTAACTATTGAGTAATTTGTAGTAATAGATTAATTTAGGTGAAAAGTATAGCACTTTACTATTCACCAAAGTTATTATAGTGCTCTTCTAGTGGATTAAAGCGCGCAATAATGCAAGATAAAAGTGGATTGCTTCCTTATGCAACTCGTTTGGATCCATAAGTTGTGACACTTGTTATATGAAGACTCCGTTTATTTTAATATAAAAAAATAAATTTTTAAATAAAATTTGTATAAATTCTCATTAGTGGTGGCAGAATGGTTAAAATAAAATAGTTATCCACCCATATTATCCATTAAAATATGGGTTGTATAATAAACTTCTTTAAAACGGGTCAAATATGGATAAGTACCATAATATTCACTTAAAAAATGGATAACTAACGGGTTTAACTCTTACATTTGTAAAGACTTAAATTGGGAGTGTCTCAAGTTTGGGAAACTAAAAATTCTTCCAAAAGTCTATTCTCCCAAAAGTGATTATATTCAAGAAGTCATGCATATCCATATTATCCGTTGTTTAATCCCTTTTTTATCTGTTTTAAATATGGGTCGGGTCGAATAATTTATTCGTTTTTTGCATTATCCATTTTCGACTCGCTCGTATCCGATCCGACCCACCCGTTTGCCACCCCTAATTCTCATTATGTTAAACACATGGATAGCCATAGTGGGACCCAGTACTAAGTTGACATGGACCCACCATGTGATGACTAGGACGGTCCCCGTCTCCTTCTCCTTCCTTAACGATGTTTAACTACGAAACTGAAGTTTTTGAGAGTTCCGTACGATGGCGACTTGTGAAGGAGCTTTCCTTTATATTCATAACAATGGAAAAACCCATTAAAGAAAGTTTTACCTAAAACCCTAGATATACATAAAAGCACCTTTACTCTTCTGTCAAACATTTAAGATTTTCAAATTCATATACAAGTACAAGTTCTCACTTTCTTTTAGTTTCCCACGCTATGTCACTAATTTAAATTCGTGCCACAAAATCATACTTTAACAATAATCAAGGCTCTGAGTAAGATAGAAGGAGTTTTTACTTGTTGGTCTCTCTCTTATAATTGTATATGCACTAAATTTCTCATATCTAAAGTACTCTAGCTAGTACTAATAGGAGTACTTGTAATTAGGTTGAATGTCATACACTCTATATCTCACACCCACAATATAGGTTAGTTCTTCCTTTTTAGTTTCATTGTAAAGAAAATTAATGAAGCCTCCACGCTCCAGCTAGAAAACCAATCGGAGTATTGTACTCCCTCCATTCACTTTTACTTGTCCACTATTAATTTTGCGCACCTCTTAAAAAATAATAAATGAAGTGTATAATTTATTATAATATACATATTAATTGATGCATATTTTTAATAGATTAGAGAAAATGATTGAAAATGGGTAATTAATATTATGAATATAATAAGAAAAAAGAAATTATCTTCTCTTGATATGCTAAAAGTGACAAGTAAAAGTAAAAATATATTTTTAAAATACTGGACAAGTAAAAGTGAATTACTCTACTAAATACTATTCCCTATATTCCATAATAAGTGATATTTTGGCCTTTTTATTTTGGTCCAAAATAAGTGTACTTTTACATAATCAAGAAGGAATTAATTTTATTTTTTCAAAATTTGCCCTTATTTACATATCTCAATGTGTTAATATAACAATTAATTAAGGGTAATTTAGTGAATACATCTTTTTTTCTCTAGAAGTTAGTATTTTCTTAAGGGTTGTGCCAAATACTAAAAAGTCATTTATTATGGATGGAAAGGAGTAGCATTCTTTAATAAACTAAGCCGGTTAATCACAGATGTAGTTCACACTGAATTGAATGAGCTATAATAGACGGTTTCTGGTGATCATTAAGGAGTTCTTGAATGTACCAGTGAACAGGTTGTGTAAAACATGTTACAGTAGCCCAAGTGAATGCAAATATCCTAAGAATTTATTACTAGGGATAAATATTTCAACTTCCTAAAAATGTTATATGTGAACAGGTTCGTATAAAATTTGTTGATTTAACATTGAAGTCAAAATAACCCGTTAAAGTCAGATCAGTGCTCTCCAATCTTTTTCTTTTTCTATTTCATTGATTTGTAAGATATTTAGTTACGTAGCTGACAATTTATGGATAGTCAAGGAGAACTTGTAATCCATATATTGAAAGGGGGAGGGGAGCTGTTCATCGAGCTAAGAAGGAGATAACAAGGGAGAAAGATAATGTTCTAGAAAAATTGGATTTTATTATTCACAATGTATATTTACATGTGTGTATCCACTTATATATATCCTCATTGACTACTCTAACAAAACATATAAGCAGCTATTAATACTAAACTAACACTAACTAATTATGTACACCTAACACTGCTAATGTACAACCCTGCACTGCACCGATTAGTTTCAACACTCCCCTCAAGTAATTGGGTGATGTAAAATGTTTATCATACCCAACTTGCAAACCATTTCACTGTGCAGTTGCTTCCCAAGTGCCTTGGTTAATGTGACTCCTATCTGATCTGTTACACCATGTGCGTCCCAAAGTGACGTATAATGAATATGAGACTTGTTAATCATGATTTAAATGAGTTTAAAGTAATAATATGACTATATATGATATTTGGATAAAACATATAAAGTTTGGGAAAATCGGATTAAAGTTGCGAAAAAACCAACTAAGGATTTGCCCTGTAACATGGCTTTTTGAAAAATAAATTTCGTGTATTATATGAGGTCTTTTTGGGACATATTATATACCAAATTGAAGGTCTTGGAATGTAGTTTCCAATGCTCTTAACCGTTCGTTCATACGTTATCCGGATAAAAAGATATAAGCATCAGAAGATGGATGAATCAGAGGGTGCCAAACTAGTACCTTTTGACTTTTCAAAAGTTGTTATATATGT